AAATTAAATTTTTGACGAAAAATGCGATACGGAGAAGTTACATACTGCACAAATTTTAAGACCCAGATATAAAAATTCAATACATTTTCAAGTCTTTTTAAGGTATTATTTCCAAATTCATGAATTCAATGCTTTTAAGACTTTTTAAGACACCGTGGGAACCCTGAAGACAGTCGTTCCACCCTCACCTTCTTCTAGCTCTTCGGAAACATCCATCCTTGATAAGTGAGCCAAAACTAAGACCCTGGCCTTCAAGCTGTAAGGATAACAGAAAGGAGGCTCCTTCTTCTTCACATTGATATTTCCTAATTCACGGATGAGCTGCAAAGCAAACAACATATTTGAGATAATCCATGTTTCATTATTTTTAGTGATTCAGTTAGAACTGTTCCACTTTTTACCTGTGGCACTACGATGTTGTCTGTTGGCCGTATAGTAGCTTCTTTATTGCTGCGGGGGTCATACTCCAGTGCAGCCGTTAACACCATGATTAAACCTGCAGGTAAGAACATAAATGTCAAAAGCATTAAAAGAAAATATTGCCTTTACCAAAGCCTGCAACAGAATGGACACTCACGCTTCATGTTCATGTTGGGTGTTTTGTACATAAAATGCATAAAAAGCTGAGTAGTGTTGATAAGAATCTGGTCTCCACTGTAGCGTATGGAACGGTACCACCATGTCCCCTATAAAAAGTGATATATCAATTAAAGACATAAAAAGAATTACTAAACATTGCAAATTCATTTGTTTCTAAAAACTTACCACAACAACAGGAAGGATGACCATAAAAGCCAGTCCATAGACTAAAAGGACCTAAAGAAGAAAGACAAAAGAGTGATCAACCACAAAGTCAAATAGAATCAAATGGAAAAGAACACATGAACATTTCCATGAATATAGTTAATTGTACCAGCATTGAGTTCTTCTGGTCTACAATCCAGGCAGGCAGTGCAATACCAAAGCTAGTTGCTAAAAAATGAAAACAGAGTTTTAATTAGATCGATAACATGAACAAGGCAATAATCTTTTGTAGTCTTTTCAAGAGTATTTCTATGAGTATCCTCACCTCCTGGACCATCTGGATTACCATAGTTTATCCAGTTTAGACGTGATTGTTCATTGGTTAAACTAGTTAAAACAATGAATGCAGCATTAGCCAAATGGGTTTTGCTGTGAAATTGTCTGGAGGCAAATAGCACTTACGCAGCATAGGCTTTGGCAATCCTCATGAAGGTAGCCTCATCACCTCCTCTATCAGGGTGGTATTTGAGAGACAATACACGATATTGTTTCTTGATTTCTGACAAAGAGGCTTCCTGATGAAAAACAAAAGCATCTGTACAGTGGTGTATATGATATATAATATGCAGCAGAATGGATCAGACCAGTGTGCTTGGTTTGTTCTTACCGGGTCCAAGTTAAGGACTTCATATGGATTATACTCCTGGTATTCTCGGTCCAGCTTGGACACCTTATAAGCTAGTAATATGAACACCACCCATCCAAATAACAAGGCAGCTTTCCTGCAGACACAAAAAAAATATACAAAAAATATAGTTTATAGACAATAGGCCATTATTTATTTTAATTTTGCATAGACATAAAAATACAGAAGTAGAATATTATCATTTTATGGAAACTGATTCCACCTCAGTTACACAGTATCTGTTGCCAGGACAACTATTCATAAGCAGAGTTGTCTGAGAAGTTCAACCAGAAAAATGAATGATGGATTGTGGTAATAAACAGCAGCAGACAGTGAAGAGGAGCAGAGTGAGGAAGAGCAGACAGATTCTGTAATTTGAGAGGAGACTGGGGCGCTCAAATCCACCAGAGCAGGGGAACGATTCAATGTGGCATGTCAGTATTACACCAGCTGATAATAATGGCTTGTGCAAGTGTGAAAACTATAGAAAGAACAAAGAAATAACACTTTCATAAAAATAACAAAACACAAAACTTAATTTCTCACAGGGGAAAGAGGCAGTCAGGTAAAAAAGTCATCCTTACAAATTGTCAACTACCAAAAGGTTAGTCAAACATAAAGACTGAATTGGTCTTGCTATATTCATTGTAATGGAGAAACACTATAATAACAATGACCATATATCTAATGACAAAGGCAAACAATAAGTACCAGCATCCACTATAAACAAATGTAGTTATGGAACAGATTTATTTTGTATGTTCTATGAAATTCAGCAGCAAAGCAAATAGAAATGGAAGCTAGCCAAATGCACTACTTAATTTTTCATACGAATAAACCAAACAACAATGGAGGTAGAGTTTCAAATCCATTACCAGGTATCAAAACGTATTTTCTTGGAAAGAGAGGATGTCAAAAGTAGAACGAGTATGGAATTATATACTATATTCGCAAACCCATATTTAATAACAGAAAAACACAGACCATGAAACTTACTTTAATGTTGGAATAATACTTTGCTGGGACTTCATAAGCCTCAGCCGATACCACAAACACCTGCCATGGACCCTCCGCAAGCTTTTGAGGCGAAGTTGTTCTGGGAAAAACAAATTCAAAGCAATGTAAATGTATTCACAATATGTTATTTACTCTACTTATCAGTTTTCACACACACTCTAGCCCCAATGTACATGCTTAGGAGCTGCTCTGTATAGCTACGTATGCACTGACAGTCTTTGTTGACCAGCAGCTGTGCAAAGATAAGACTGTAATAGGAAGATACAATAAAAAAAAAATATATTCATACGCTGCCCTGTGCTCTTTGTGTCCCTCTTGTAATTGCAACGAGTGGAGAGGAGAGGTCAATAGGGCGAGATAAAAGAGTTGCTAAGGGGAAAATAGGTACATTCATTAAGGTGCAGTGTCAACACGTAGAAATCTTTAGCATAAACGCTACACTGTTAGTGCTAAACTTGCTAAATCACTCCCCAAATGGTCTATCAGAACACTGACCAGATAATAAACAGGACGCTAATAAGTTTGATCTTGGAAAATCAGAGACTGTGGTCACTTTGTTAGCCAAGTTATTGGGCAGCCAGACAGCAGCAGCAGCAGCAGCAGGGCCTTACCAGCATTCTGATCCCGGGGCCAGAGGTAGTATGTGGCGGGGATCACAATAAGTCCGACAAACGACGTGAGGAAATAGAAAAATGTATTGCCGCTGTCATCGTACTGAAACTGTTGTCCGGCCATTTCGTAGCGGCGCTTGAGTCGCCCTTCTTCTCCGCCGCTACGCTTGCCCCTTCAAGCCCACTGTGAGCAAGTTGACAGAGCGTTAGTCACTAGCATCTATGCTAGCAGCAGCCTGATCATCGGTGTACGTGGTGTACGCATGCGTAATGCAACCGCTCTTCTTCTGCGAGAATCGCAGCACAGCACCGCTCAGAGGCCAGGGCTAGCGACACCCTTAGGTAACAAGATAAAACACCATTTATCACAACTATACATTTTTTGGGGATTTTAACATCCAAATATGTTCAAAGAAATGCATCAGAAACATTATTCAACCTCCAAACAGACCCATAGCACAGCACAGAACTCACTGCATGGGGAGACTGATTGGAGCATGGCTTGGCTGGTTGGCGAAAAACCCTGCATCTATAACAAAATCAAAGAGGTCAGTTTCAAAATTTTACCCAGTCAAAAAAAAAAAAAACTTAAAGAAAGATTCAAGACATTAATTACAACTGCGACTTCTGTCAAAGCGACACTGAAACAATCACTCACCTGTTCTTCCATACATACAGTAGAAACCTTTGGACAGACATGCAGCAGTTCAGCCAGACCAAAATCTGTATGTGAAGATATGCGATCAGCTTCCAGGAAAGTGACATCCTGTTCTTCTTCAACAACCCCTCCATTCCCAAAGATCTCTGCCTCACTCTCATCATAGTTAGTTAGTCATATCATATACACAGAACAAAATGCACTCAAAATAAACCAAATGCTCACCACTATAATATAATAACTGAATATTTTGATTCCCTCGGTTATCCCCTGCCTTGTTGACTATGAATTTGAATATGTAATACTCAAATTATAATAATACTCAAATAATATGTAATACTCAAATAATAATAATCTATAACATGTTTTGTAATTTTTGTGTTATATCCTCTCTTTGATTAGTGGTCTAGAATTGGATGATGTCCTTCATCATTTCAGATGGAGGCGAGGGGTTTCAATCTAAAATTATGTTTAAATGAATACATAATATTAAATCCCTGTGTCAAAAAAAAAAGTATAGAATCCTGTGTCAAAAAAGGTGTTAGCCCTGTAAACATGCCATATTAATCTTAATCCTTACAATTTACAACACAATGACATCTTTGTGATTGAATCATATGGGTGAAATAAAGGCACCACTTTCTGAAGACTGACTCACTTCAATTTATTCATGCTGACAGATCATTTTCATGTGGAAAGACCCAGAAATAAAGAGTTATCTATAAATCATGAACACAAAACTTCCTTATTAATGTCTGGTCTCATCAGATCTCAGAAGCTAAACATAACAGTGGTACTTGGATGGGAGGCCGCTGGGAATGTCAGGATCCACAATGTGACAACAGTATCAAAACTGGAAATGAACTATTGTTCATTTCCTATGAAAGTAGTATATGTGTGAGTGTTGTGCAGCCTCACTTCCGTCAGTCTACCTTAGGGCTGTAGCTTACTACCACAGAGTATGGAGTGAACAAATGATGCACACAATTGTAAAGCAACTTTGATTGTTTGGAAAAGTGCTATATAATGAAAATTATTATTATTATTATTATTATTATTATTATTATTATTACTACTACTACTACTACTACTAATAATAATAATAATAATAATAATAATGTTCAGATTAGCAATCTTCAATCTGACAACAAACAACAAATGACATCACATCTCATTGTTACAAATAAGATATAAAATTAAGCATCTCTAGGCCCTCACGCTCTCCTCGGGGTCACATTGACCCGAAGACATTTTTTTTCTTCCTTCCTGCTCTCTTGGGGACAATCAGACCCAAAAATGTATTTTCTTGCCTGGTGAGAATTTATTTGAAAATACATTTTTGGCTTTGACTGACCCGCCCCAAGACAGCGGGAAGGAAAAAAAAAAGTGAGCCCAAGGAGAGCGTGAGGGCTAGAATGTGGTCTGGACATGTAGAAGAAAAGAAAGTAAACATGCCATACATGATTAATATAGTACTTAAAAAGCGAAACAGTTCTAAATATGCACTCTTATGTCATCTAAAGGTTTGCGTTTCAAATCGGGGACAGTGGCATCTGATGCAGGGTATCCCACTGGAAGAAGCATCAGCAGTTTCTCATTGGCCGGTCGTTTGAGGAGCAGGCGAAGCTGGGGACCACAGTTCAAAGGAGTTGATGTAACTGTCACTAGACCCACATTCTGAAGGGTTGTACATAAAACAAACATCTAAGGTGAATATAAAGTACTTCATATACATAAGCCATGATGTGATTACCTGTAGCGCAGCCAACAGGATCCCACAGGATATGCAAACACTTATTTCGTTATAGTAGTGCGTCTTTTTCTTTCCATTTGGCAGAATTCCATATGTTTGTTTGAAGATGAGAACCAAATATGGAGCCACATCCAAATACTCCTTAATCCAATTTGTCCTGCATTTTAAAATATGATTGTTGTATTAATATAAGTTTAAAAAGTTTACTGACTCTGGCACATTTGGGCAAATTACAATATTTTTTGCAAAGTTTTATAATATTATGTGATAAGATACAAAGTTATAATGACAAATATTACCCTTACACATTCTAAGAAACAGATCAGCTCATTAGACCAAGTTTTATTTCAGCTGACTATAATGCCATGGGGCTCAAACCACCAAATGAAAGGTTAGTGAGCAACTGATGACCCAAGACTGAAATAATTCATTTCTATAAGTTACTCACTTAAGTGGGGCCAAATCGTTCACCCACTTGTCACCCATCCTCTGCCTGTAATTGACCTCCTCCTCTTCCTCAACAATGAGCCTGATCTGGTGCTTGGTTTCTGGGTCGGACACCACCACAAACGTCCAAGGCTCTGTGTGGGCTCCACTTGGGGCTGTGCCTATGTTTTAAATCAGAAGCATGTTAGTTTCTCTCTACACATTATTTGACCTCTTGTCACAGTTAAAAAGTTGAAAAGTATTATTTTTGTGCCTGCTGTGTGGATGACATTATCAATAACTTCTCTTGGGACAGGCTCAGGGCTGATGAAGCGCACACTCCTTCTCTGGTTCATGACGGAGTAGAAATCCTGGGACCTCTTCACCATGACTTCTTCAGGATACCGTGGGGGGGAGTATGGTACATGTGCTAGATCTTCTTCTTCATTGTGGTCCTCCACATCATCATCATCTGACAAAACAATATTATTTTAATGCAAGTAAGAGAGTCATACTATTAGAACAGTGGGACAGTCAAGACATGTACATTTAATCTATAAATATAAGAATTAAAAACATAGCATTATTTTGAAATCCAATGTTATCAAAATCTGTTCTGGTATCAATAAATACTCCAAATCAAATTTACTCAAAAATAAAAGCTAAAAAATATATATGTCACAAATACATCTGAACATAAGACTGTGATGTTGTTATTCATGCTCTGTGTAGGTTTAGTTAGAACTTCCTTCCTTAGTGCACATGAAACATTGTTTGATTTGGTATGGATTTAACTATGTGATCCTATCTTTGTTAATGAAGAAACCTTCTTTTTTTGAATGTGGCAACCCATTCACCTTGATTCACCAAGATGTATTCCTGTGATATTTGTGAGTTGACAAAGTTCACAAACTCACAAGAGTCGCACACATCAATCTGGCATGAGCCAGGCTAGCAACCCATGGCAAGCGTGTAAAATCCTAACTAAACCAAGCTGTTCATTCACTGCAAAGATATAGACTATATTTTTAGTGTTCAAATCTAAAAAACAATCCAAGTTTACTTGCCTTTCTCAACAATATCCGTATTATCCTGTAAGTCCTGGTCCACCCATGGTCTAAAGTCTTTAGGCTTTTCTTGCGTTTTTATTCCTGAGCTTTTTGATTTAACAAACATGAGGCCTATCACCAGACAAAGGACTGCTGCCAGCACAGGAGTGAGAGCTGAGAGGAGAGCCATGGCTGCTCATCTGGACCTGAGAGGACCCGGTAGAAAAACACTCTTATGTAACACTTTTGCTTTTGGGAGGGGGTTTAGGGCCAGCCCACCTTGTCTACAGTAAGGCTGTGATGTAATAGTTGTACAATAAGATACTAATAGACAAAAATGTCAAAGTCCTAGCATTCAAGTTAATCTTCAACTGACCTCAAATCAGGTCATTATTTTCTAAAGCCTAGCAGCTGTCTTCCACAAATTGTTTAAACGTACTTCAAAAGTGTATTACAAAACAGAAAGGTTATGAAGAATGGCCTTGCTATTCAGGTTAAACACATGCAATAAAAAAGAGATTTACAAAGGTGTAGGGTCTTAACTTAACTGTCTTAACTGGAGTCTCCACCTCCTGCCCCTTCACTTCAAGAAGGTCTGGCTGCAGCTTGAATCCATTAAAGTTGGATTATATTAGAGTTGTGTGGAGCGCCACTCAGGGACAAAAACATGTGACTTGCACTTTTCAAAATGACAAAGTACATATGATTTTCATAGCCTACGAAACGTTTTATTTTGACCACGAATGAATTTTGATTAAATAAGATTGTGTGTAGTGTAGTTTATAAAATGTTTTTACATTCTAGAATTTGTTCGCATATATATTTAGGGTACGATTTGTAGGGGGGCTGGGAGGTGTCATATCCCCCCACCTCTGCTAAATTATTTTAATATGAGGACAAGAACCTCATAGTGATGAACTGATTAATGAATAAAATGATTAACAACTGATAAACAATGGTAATGGTATTGGGTGATGGTAAACCTAATGTTTTATAAACTGATTAACAACTGATAAACCAATCATCTGAACAATTTACAAATTAACTACTTAATTAACCAATTAACAATTATCAGACAAATCAACTCTTACACCTTCAGACCTCCATCATTTAAAAAACAAACAAATAAACAAAACCAAAAAAAAAACAAAAAACAAAACAAAAACAGTTAAAGCTGCAGTAGCCAGGGTAATCATGGGAAAAGCATAATCCCCACAGGTTCTAGTAGACGAAGAAGTAGATACTCAAAACGACCACAAGATGGCAGTCGGGCACTGATGTTTCTGGATTATTTGCATTTTTATGGCACCTAGGATTTTAGACTATCATTGATGGAATTAGACTTGTACACTGTAAAAAATAAATCTAGCCTATTATGAATGCAGATTTAGTATTACAATTCTTAGGCTTTTGGCTATAGTTTACTGCAACTATGCGCACTTACTACAAAAACGCAGAGATTTATTGGGATAAACATTCATAGACTAACTTTCAGGTCCAGTGCTTGTGGGAATTCCCCTTCGCTTAAACGCACCGTGGACGTTCACCTCTCGTGATGCAGCTCCATGTGAAGCGCTCATCAATTGATCTGAACAGACACTGGTCATTTTTACAGTGTAGCTCCGCCCACCCGGCTGTCTCCTGCGCTGCGCTTTAAATAGCAGCTGTTAAAAGCTCGTCGCACTCTCCTGTCTGCCGCTCAGCCTCATTCATTCTCTCCTCTCATCACCTCACAGACCCTCACTCATTTTTCACATAACGCTTCACGTACTGCAGGTGCCCTACGTCCACAACTATGTCGGCCGCAAGCACCGAGACCAGCGCCCCGCTCTCCACCGCAGGTAGCCGGGTGTTCTTCCAGGCTGCGCCCGGCGTGGGGTGCGTGAGCTCGGGGCCCATCACCACAGACGACCCGGTGCAGAAGAAACAAGGCAAAGTGACGGTGAAGTACGACAGAAAAGAGCTGAGGAAGAGACTGGTGCTGGAGGAGTGGATCATCGAACAGCTCAGCGAGTTGTACGACTGTGAGGTAAGAGTAAAGCGCTCACTGTGTCTAATTAGTTCTTTATTGACCCAGGTTTTATGGTGCATTGGGGGCTCTAGTGGCGCCTTAGAGTCACGTTAATTCTTTATACAGGAACCAGCGTACAGCTTTTAAATGCAGTGAATTTGGCACGCGCTTCAACGTGCCTTTGTGCTTTTCTTGCTGACTTTACAGCGCATTGTACACTGCGACTTGGGGACTTCTTGTGTGGCCAGTAGCCCTTTACACTGATGATTCAAACATGATCTCGTGATTTGACTCTTCGCCCTTGACACTGATCTGCTCCAATCCCCCTTGTGCTGTATCTGTCCATTTATGACCCCAAAGCCCATTCAAAGCCCTTTCACCTCAGCGGAAGGACGTGTGGCAACTGTCCAGACTATATTGACAACCTAATTATTTTGCACCTTCACATTCACAAGTCGCATTCTTGAACACTTGTAGGGGGAGGGGTGCAGATGTGGGAGCCTGTGTCCATACAGAAACGGCACAAATCGCGATTGTGGAGAGGGGTGCAAGGAAAAAACATGTTTGGTGGCTGCCTGTGCCACAGTCACGGTATGCCCGCAGAGGAGCCAGCCTGACCAAGCAGGGGGAGGGGCGGCAGGAGAAAGAAGGGCACTGGGTTAAGGATGTGCTGATGCTTCGGCTACCATCAGCAGCCAATCACCTTCTGTAGATTTGGCCTCCTTCCACTGAGCAGAGGGGCTGCAGTGAGGCATGCGTATGGAGGCACGTACAGGAGGGTCTGCCATAGCTCACAGCCAATCACGGGTAACATGGTAGTGCCAAATGCAGTCTCACATGTACCCAAAGATGTGTGGGGCTTCTCTTTCATATCAACAACTAGTATTGCACAGATGGATGATATTCAGGCACCATTTGGATATGTAAAGTTTTTGCTTTTATCCCAAACACCTTTTACCATTTTTTGCCACTGAGATTGTTGGTTCAATTTCCAGTTGGCTAACATTACAGTTACCCCGGGATTGGTATTAAAAGGCCCATGTTATGCTGTTTCTGATCTAGTCTATGTTATAATGTTGTTTCCTCATCACAAACATACCTGGAGTTGTGTTTTGTTTCCTTCACACATGTTTAACACACAAACCTTACATTTAGGCTGAGTTCTTCTCTCAAACAGAAAACACTTTGTTCCACCTTTTATGATGTCATGTGGTAATACAAGAAGTGCTCCTATGTGTTTTTAAACTCCATGCACCTTCACTAGAATCATTTGGATAATTACAGCACTACAATTTGCAATCTCTACTGGACAAATGGTAAAAGGTAGTTATTAACTTAAACTCCCGCTTCATGACATCACATGGTGGAACAGAGCATTTTGAGCTTTGAAGATGTAGACAGAGTAATAGTAAATGATTACTCAAACGTGTGAATGAAACAAGACACAATTCCAGGTATGTTTTTGAAGAGGCAACAACATTTAAACATGGTTTAAAGCACATAAGAGACAATTTTGTTTAATATAGGACCTTTTAAAATCCAGGTGTGTGTGAATTTGATCTGTTCTGCTCTTCTTAGTGAAAGGTCATCAGCATGTCACCAACTACTAATACATAACTTGCCTAAGGGCCTCAATGACTGCACTCACCTCGCCTCCAAAATGAGTGTGTGTTGTTCTCATGTGTCCTATTCAGTCAATGAGAAATACTTTGTTTGTATTTTAGGCTTATTCAAATCAATACATGCTAAAACAAGCACTCTAAAAGGGCAGTGTGATTGATTAAATTTGAATCTTTAACATTAACATTTGTAATTGTTGGATATGATTGGTGTTTTTAACCGTCAGGTTCACACACAACCAGTTCTCTGTCAGTAAAAGCTTGTGTTTTGGAGAGATTGAGATTTTGAGGAAGAAATTTATCTATTTTCTGTTTAGTTGTTTTGTTTTAAATGGCAATGATTAAAAGTATGCCTTATTTATATTCTGGACATTAACACTGAAAGCCAAGTACTATATATTTTTTGTCATATCACCCAGTCCAACTAACTAATGCTAATGATTTTAAGGCGAGCAGTATGCAATTTTTTTCATGTCATCTTTAAATAGCTTAATCCAATCATGTGGCATTACAAAAACATAGCCTCTTTGGGTTTTATTGCCCCTGCCTTGTGCTTTCTCCAAGCGTTTTAAAAGCAATGGTCTGGATGGTTTACATTTCAAAGCACCTCATGTCTTTTGGTCTTCAGCAGGTGGTCACGCTCTCGACCTCTGCCCCCCAGTCTCCTTTTTGATGTAGTTTAGCTGTTTCTGCGTTATTCCAGCTGTTGCAGAATTTCATTGTTATTTATTTCACTTTTTTTTACAATGGAAACCAACAAACTCCAGGTAGTAGCACTAGGCTTATCTGCTATCACTGCTTTTACAACTGCCTTTAAGCACGCACAAAGCACTACTGCCTGGAGCAAACTGCTATGCTAGGCATATTGTTCAGTATCCAAGTACAACTCTAGATTTCTTACTTGGTTGCAGCAAATATAGCTTATGTAAAAAAATCTCCCATATAACTGATTAGCTAAAAAAAAACACAACTCAATAAAATACCCATTAATCATTTTAAACACCATAACACTATTGTAGTCTGTGTTAATAATCAGAGCAATAAAATGTGTTGACAGATTGTGTTTCTGGAAATTCTCTGGCAGCTATCCAGCCTTTGTAAAGGGCAGCAGCCATTAATATTTTGGCACTGTGTAACCAAGTCCCTTTATCCATGCATTCTCCATTTGACAATGAAAAGATGAAGAGAGATGGAGAGCTGTTTGAACAGGTGTGTGGGGTCAGGTCATGTGACTGTAAACAGGAAGTGACACCAGCTAACACCTCCAAGTCTGTAAACACATACACCTTACATTTGTTTTTGGAAATGAGTGACAGTTCAATGGCCTCACTTGGTCTGTCTTAAAGGTCAACTCCTGTATCCGTTTCATGGAAAATACTTAATAATAAATAATATCTCATTACTTGAATGTATTTCAGTCAGAGGACAAGACAACATATCGCATAACAGAGAAATGTAGACGTGTTCTTGGCACCATGCTGCCTATCCAACTGTAACAATATAAGGATTAGAGTGAAATAGCAAGTATTTGATAAGTCTGTTGTATATAAATATGGATTAG